ATAGGGAGTTCTGTGAAAATAAGAATATTTTAATTGAAAAACAGGGATTTCTGTGAAAATAAGCGATATTTCAGGGGAAAAACAGGGATTTATATGAAAATAAGCGATATTGTAGGGGACAAACAGGGATTTCTGTGAAAATAAGTGATATTTTAGGGGAAAAACAGGGATTTCTGTGAAAATAAGAATATTTTAAGGGAAAAACAGGGATTTCTGTGAAAATAAGCGATATTTTAGGGATTTGTATCAAAATAACTGATATTTTATGGGAAAAACAGGGTTTTCTATGAAAGTAACGGATATTTTGGGGTAAAAACAGGGATTTCTGTGCAAATAAGCAATATTTTAGGGGAAAATCAGGGATTTCTGTGAAAATAAGCGATATATATGTGGAATAACAGGGATTTCTGTGAAAATAAGCGATATTTGAGGGGAGAAGCAGGGATTTCTGTGAAAATAAGCGGTATTTTGGGGGAGAAACAGGGATTTCTATGAAAATAAGCAGTATTTTAGGGGAAAAACAGGGATTTATATGAAAATAAGTTGATTTTTCGTCGAAAAACAGGGATTTCTGTGAAAATAAGCAATATTTTAGGGGAAAAACAGGGATTTGTATCAAAATAAGTGATATTTAAAGGGAAAAACAGGGATTTGTGTGAAAATAAGGGATATTTTATGGGAAAAGCAGGGATTTCTGTGAAAATAAGTGATATTTAAGTGGAAAAACAGGGATTTGTATCAAAATAATTGATATTTAAGGGGAAAAACAGGGATTTCTGTGAAAATAAGCGATATTTTAGGGGAAGAACAGGGATTTCTGTGAACATAAGCGATATTTTAGGGGAAATAGAGGGATTTCTATGAAAATAATTGATATTTTATGGGAAAAACAGGGATTTCTGTGAAAGTAAGCGATATTTTAGGTTAAAAACATGGATTTCTGTGAAAATAAGCAATTTTTTAGGTTTTAAAACGGGGTTTTTAGAAAATAAGCAATTTTTAAGGGTCACAACAGGTATTTCCATGAATATACGGGATATTTTATGGGAACAACAGGGATTTCTATGACGTAGAAGTCACCCTTGCCATTAATTACCTACTGTAATGCTGCAGCATTATGGAAAATGCAACAACGGTAGCAAAAAAGCAAAGTCCCATGCTGTAGTAAGTGAGGATGTGCTCAAACACAGCAGCTGTATATAGAGAAAAAGAACAAAAATCTGCTTACCTTTGGAAGACCTCATGCGAGCACAGACCTCCAGCGAAAGTCCCCTCACTTCTGATGCCAATGCTTAAATGAGAACCGAAAGGGGGCGGAGCCTGGCTCCGCCCCCTTCCATCACTCAGGTGCGTTTCATGCACCTGAGCTTCTATGGTTGTCCCTTCTCAATCATTGTTTCAAGCCACGACTTAGGGTTTCCGCTACCCCCCCCCCAACAGTATCGCTCCAACATCACTCCCTGACGTCCCCCCCATGATGCTCCAACATCACCCCCCAGCATCACTCTCCAGCATCACCCCCCCACATCTTCCCAGGGTTAGCTCAGTGTTACCCTCAGTGTCACTCTATCAGCACTGAAATTTGTGCTCCGCTATCTATTAGAAATTTCACCCAATGCCTTTGAGGGCAGACTTCAATCAAAATCCGCGTGCCATTGTTGCTCATCCTTTGATCAAAGTCCCCTTGCCGGACAGGCAGATCCAATCACCTGCTTGTAATTAGTCTTTTGTTGTTGTTTACAGCCTGAAGCAGTGATTGAGCACCTGGTGAGGGGTGTGGCCAGCCCTGCCAGCACAGGTGGAAGCAATTTGCCTGTGGGACCGGATAGGGCTGAGCTTGGCTCCACCCCCTCCCTGCCCATATTTAAGGGCTGGGAACAGCAAGGGTAGCATTCAGCTTGGGATCTGCCTCCTTGGGAGCATTGGGAGCCAGTTCTGCTTGTTGGAATGGGGTGAGTGACTGATGCTTTGTTGCAGGGCTCTGGTCTTTCTGTTTTTGGGGATCCTGACTGCTTTTAAGGGCTGGAAGCTGTGAGGGCAGCATCTCTGCATGGAGGCTGCTTCCTTTGGGGTGTGGGCTGAGCGTTTGTTTTTGGGATGGGGTCATTGGTTTCTTCTGTATTGCTGGATTGTAATTTCGCTTTCTGGGGGGCTCCTGACTACATTTAAAGGCTGAGAACAGCCAGGGCAGCATTCTGCTTGGGAACTGCTTGCTTGGGAGCATTGGGAGCCAGTTCTGCTCGTTGGAATGGGGTGAGTGACTGATGCTTTGTTGCAGGGCTCTGGTCTTTCTGTTTTTGGGGATCCTGACTGCTTTTATGGGCTGGAAGCTGTAAGGGCAGCATCTCTGTCTGGAGGCTGCTTCCTTTGGGGTGTGGGCTGAGTGTTTGTTTTTGGGATGGGGTCATTGGTTTCTTCTGTATTGCTGGATTGTAATTTCATTTTCTGGGGGCTGCTGACCACATTTAAGGTCTGTCAGCAGAAGGAGCAGCAACTGCACCTGGAGGCTGTTTCCTTTAGAGCGTGGGGTGAACCTTTGAAACGGGGTGAGTGAGTCTTTATTCCAGGGTTGCAACATCTTGTTTTTTTGGGGATCCTGACCCCGCTTAAGGGCTGGCAGCCTTTAAGGTGGTATCTATCTTTAGAGACCGTCTCCTTGGGAGTGTGGGGTGACGGCTGGTCCTTGAGAAAGAATGAGTGATTTCTTCTTGTTTTAGGGCTGTGATCTTTCCTGTTTTGGGGGCATCCTGACCGCATTTAAGCGCTGACAGATGTAAGGGTAACGTTGATCTCTGGAGGCTGTCTCCTGTGGAGCATGGGTGAGTTTTGGCCTTTGAGAGGGGTGTAAGTGGTTTCTTTGTTTTTTCTTTATTTCAGGCTGCAATGTCCATTTTTTCTTTTCTTTTTTTATTATTATAATTTAGTATCCTGACCACATTTAAGGGGTGGAAGCCATAAGGGCAGCATCTCTACCTGGAGACTGCTTCCCTGGCAGTGTGGGCTGAGTGTTCATCTTTGGAATGGAGTAACTTCTTCTTCCTTTATTTCAGGGCTGTTATGCACTGCTTCCAACCGTGCAGAGTTGTTTAAAGGCATTCTGTGCACCCTTAGGTGTAATAAGTCTTCATCTTTATAGGAAGCCAGGGTTTGTCCTCTTCTGGACGACTGTACTCAGCATCACCCCAGATATCTCCATCCTAATTGTCTGGAGATGCTGTTGGTTTCCTAATCTGTACGACACCCAAACCCCAATTCCTCTTCCTCCCACCCCCTGACCCGCATTCAATGCTCTGCAGGTCTGGTTCCCAACAGCGTGATGAAGTGAAGCCCCTGCTCAGCTGAATACTGTGACTGGCCCAGAGAGGCTCTGATGGATGTGGATTATCCCAGCTGGAGCACCTGGTACCATTGGTGGTGATCTCGTCCAACTGCCACACAACAAACAGGAACATCCATAGCCAGATCAGGCTGCCCAGAGCCTGATCCAGCGTCACCTTGGAAGGGACAGGGCATCCATCATGTCTGGGTAACCTGTTTCGCTGTGTCACCACCATCACTGTACAGGGTTTTCTTTATGTCTAGGCTAAATGTTTCCTTGTTCTTCCCTTCAGGTGTTGAAAGGCTGTTACCAGATCACCTCGGAGCCTTCACTTCTGCAGGCTGAGCAGCTCCAGCTCTCTGTCTTTATAGGAAAGGCGTTCCATCCCTCGGTTCATGTTTGTGGCCGTTCTATGGATGTGCTCCAACAGCTCCACATCTGTCCTGCTCTGCAGACATCCACATCCAGACGCAGCACCTCCAGGTGAGGCCTCCCAGTGCAGAGCAGAGGGGCAGGACCGCCTCCCTTCGCCTGCTGACCGCACATCTTTGGATGGAACCCAGCATACGGTTGGCTTTCTGGGCTGGAAGGCGCATTGCTGAGTGCCACTACTCAGCCTGTTGAGGTCCCTCTGGATGGCATCCCGTCCTTCTGGTGTGTCACCGCACCCCACAGCTCGGTGTCATTAGGGTGCACTCCACCCTACTGTCAATGTCGCTGATGAAGGAGCAATTCCAGATGTTTGTGCAAACTCAGCAAAGAACACTTTGAGGGCAGCCCCACAGAGAAGGGCTTGTGAATCCTGGTGGATGAGAAGCTGGACGTCAGCCAGCAGAGCGGGCTTGCAGCCTGGAAGGCCAGCTGTGTTCTGGGCTGCATTAAAAGAGGAGCGGCCAGCAGGGAGCGGGAGGTGATCGTCCCCATCTGCTCTGCTCTTGTGAGGCCCCATCTGCAGCGCTGCATCCAGGCGTGGGGCCCCCAGCACAGGAAGGACGTGGAGCTCACGGAGCGGGTCCAGAGGAGGCACTGAGATGATCAGATGGTTGGAGCAGCTCTCCTACAAGGAAAGATTGAGGGAAGTGGGCTTGTTCAGCCTGGAGAAGAGAAGGCTTGGGGGAGACCTCGTTGCAGCTTTCCAGTACTTGAATGGGGGAACAGCAGGAAGGGGAACGGCTGTTTACAAGGGTGGATTGTGAGGACAAGGGGGAATGGTTTTAATCTGAGACAGGGGAGGTTTAGGTTGGTTATTAGGAGGAAGCTTTTCACACAGAGGGTGGTGACGCACTGGAACGTGCTTCAGAGTCCCTTCTAGGAGGATTTGCTCCATGATTTTTTGCAGCAGAGAGGTGAGACTGACGTTGGCAGTTCCCAGGGTCACACTTTATATCTGCAGTAACAGCTGTGCTGTCGCCTTTTTTCTGCTCACCAGAGACTTCACCTGACTGCCTCAACTTCTCAAGTACCACTGAGAGTGGCTCGGTGAATGCAGCACTGAATTCCCTCAGAGCTCTGGGACTCATCAGGACCCAAAGACTCCTGGATGCTCGGGTCCTCAGGTGGTCCAGAACCTGATCTCCCATCACAGTGTGGGATAGGGAGGGCTCTGTGGGACCGGCATTGCTTCCTGAATCTACCAAACCAAAGGTGAGGGCAGTGTGTAATGAGCAGTTATCAGAGTAGATGGAAGATTGATGTTGTTGGGTACCTCAGCCTTCTCCTTGTCTGTTGTTCCCAGCTCAGTGCTGCTGGTAAGCAGCATCGCACACAGAGTGCAGCCACGTTGATCAGAGAAAGGAGTGCAGGTTTGTGAAAGAGGCACATCTGCAGGGCAGCGCCTTCATTACCGCTTTGTGTCCCACAGGTGGCAGCAGGCTGCGGCACTCCCGAGCGCCGTAACGACCGCATGGAGATGCGTGGCTCTTATGGGAACAGCAAGGAACCGGAATCTGCATTTCCTGGAATGCCCGGAACCCCGCTTTGCTGGCCGGTAATTGTCTGCCCAGCAGGTAAGGGCAATGCACACCCACCAGCGTTTACCCATTCCCTAGCATGGCACAGCACGGTGCTCACAGAGCTCTTCATTGCACTTCGTGGTGCCCTGGATGCTGCCTGTCCTTTCTGTGTTCTGCTTGTCTGTGGCCTTTCACTGCAGCGTTTTCATTCCCTTTGCCCTTGCTGTTCCCTACTCCATTCTCTTGCCCTCCTGTTTTTGTGTTCCATGCCACGTTCTCTTGGCCGCTGCCCTCGGCTTTCTTTGCCGCATTCACTTCAGCATTCAGTTTTGGCGTTCCGTGCCGCGTTCTCTCGCCCTCCTGTTCTGGCATTTCCTTCCATGTTCTGTTAGTCGTCGCCATTGGTTGGGCATCCTCTTGTCCTCCTGGTTTTGTGTTCCACGCTGAGTTCTCTTGGCCGTTGCCCTGGGCTTTCTTTGCCATATTCACTTCAGCATTCAGTTTTGGCGTTCCCTGCTGCGTTCTCCTGCTCTCCTGTTTTGGCGTTTCTTGCCGTGTTCTCTTGGCCATCATCCTTGGCATTTCCTTCCACGTTCTCTTGGCCCTTGCCCTTCTCTGGGCATTCCCTCGCCCCCCTGTTATTGTGTCCCATGCTATGTTCTCTTGGCCATTGCCCTTGGCTTTATGTAGCCACTTTCTCTTCAGCATTTGATTTTGGCGTTCCTGGCAGCATTCTATTGCCTGCTATTTTGGCACTTCCTGCCATGTTATCTTAGCCCTTTCCTGGGCATTCCATGCCGTGTTCCCTCGGCCTTTTGTTTCGGCTTTTTGTGCTGCGTTCTCTTGGCCTTTGCCCTCGGCCTTTCCTGTTGCGTTCTCCTTGTCCTCCCCTTGGCGTTCCATTGGTGCTCTCTTTGCTTTTGCCCTTGCCTTAGCTTGGCTGTTTGCTTTGCATTTACCTTGGCTTTCCACGGGAGTTTTGTTTCCCTTTGCTTTTGGCACTCTGGGATTAGCTGCGAGGATACATTAACATTAACCTTAACCTGAACCCACAGCTGAATGGGAGTTCTAACGATAACTTTGTTAACCTGCAGCGTATCTGTAGACCAAACCCTTGACCCAGTGTTGAAAATGTCTCTTACCCTGAATGCTGCTGTAAAAATAGTGCCCCATGTTTTGTCAAATAACCTTAATTGTAATTGTAGTGCAGAATACTGATGTTAGACCAACTGTAACTTCAACCCTATCAATAGCATTAATTCTATCCCTAACGTTAATTATAATTAATTACAACCCTTGTGTCATCATTACAGCATTGTGCTCAGGGTGCAGCCCCACACATGCGGGGCAGCGCCTTCATTACTGCGTTGTGTCCCACAGGTGGCAGCGGAGCTGCGGCGCTGCCGAGCGCTGTAAGGACAGCACGGAGATGCGCGGCTCTTCAGGCAGCAGCAAGGAACCGGAATCTGCATTTCCTGGGATACCCGGAACCCCGCTTTGCTGGCTGGTAATTGTCTGCCCAGCAGGTAAGGGCGATGCTCACCCACCGGTGTTTACTCATTACTTAGCGAGGCACAAGGTAGGGTTCACAGAGCTCTTCATTGCACTTCGTGGTGCCCTGGATGCTGCCTGTCCTTTTCTTTCTGTGTTATCGCCTCCAGCCTTTCACTGCAGCGTTCTCCTTGCCCTTGGTTTTTCCTGCTGCGTTCTCTTGCCCTCCTGTTTTGGCGTTCCCTGTGGCATTCTCTCGGCCATTTGCCCTTGGCCACCTTCACTGCGTTTTCTTTGGCCTTCGGCTTTGGCCATCTGTGCCACATTCCCTTGGCCTTTGTCCTTGGCCTTCTTTGCCACGTTCACTTTCCCTCCCGTTCTGGCATTCCCTACAGCCTTATTTTGGCCTTCAGTTCTGGCGTTCCTGGCTGCGTTCTCTTTGGCCGTTGCCCTCGGCCTTCTTTGCCCCATTTCCTTTGGCCTCCTGTTCTGGCGTTCCCTGCGGCATTCTCTTTGGCTTCTATTTTGGCGTTCCTTTCCACGTTCTTTTCGGCCATTGCTCCTGGCCTTCTTTGCCACATTCCCTTTGGCCTCTTGTTTTGTCTTCTCCTACAGCATTCTCTTTGCCTTTGGTTTTGGCCTTTTGTGCCACATTCTCTTTGGCCATTGCCCTTGACCTTCTGCATCGGCCTTCCCTGCAGCGTTCTCACGGTCCTCGCCCTCCATTTTGGCCTTCTGCGTCGATCTCTTTGGTCTCCATTCTGGCGTTCTCTGCGGCCTTCTCCTTGGGCCTGACCTCTGACGCGACCTTCGGCGTTCTCCATGTCTTTCCCATCCCTTTGCCCTCTGTTTTGGCGTTCCCTCGGCTGTTCTCCTTGCCTTTTGCTCCTGCCTTTGCCTTGGCCTTCCCTAACGGTCACTCTAACCCTAATCCTGATGTACCTAACCCTAACACCTTTCCTGTTAAATACTCCTAACCTTACTCTGAAGCCTTTTCTTAGAGCGGTGTTTGGCTTCCACGTTTTGGGGGGTGGGCTGACGGTGAGCACAGTTTGGGTCTCGGCCTTCTTCCTTCTAAAGCGTGTCTCTGTATTACAGGTGAAGATGCCTTCGACGCTTCCAGTCGATGACTTCCCCCCTGCGATGCCATCGGCTTTCCAGGCCTCCCACACTCACCGCCAGCTCGGTTCGGTCAACCGTTACCCGAATCCCCGCTCCGTTCCCTTTCCATGATCTTCCCGTCACTCTGCCACAAGCCCCTACCAAGGTCATCGCAGGCAGCGTGTGGGATGCGGCGCTCGGTCTCATTGCAGTTCATCCCATGGGCCTCAGCCCAGCGATCCAACCCACCCGCACCCTTCCTGAGGGCCCTTCTGCTCCCAGGCCAATCAACGCTTCCTTCTGATGCCATCTGAGTTCCCTCCAGGCCACTTTCAGGCTCATGCCTCTTTGTGGCCATTTTGAGAGTTGCGCTGATTTCAGCGTGTGCATTCAATTGACTTCAACCAAATTGGCTTTAGCTTGACATACAATTAATGTAAACCAAATTGGCTTTAGCCTTGCATTCAATTGGCTTCAACCAAATTGGCTTTAGCTTTACATTCAATTGACTTCAACTAAATTGGCTTTAGCTTTACGTTCAATTGACTTCAACCAAATTGGCTTTAGCTTTACATCCAATTAATGTAAGCCAAATTGGCTTTAACTTTGCCTTGGTTACGGGGTTGGGCTAGCCTTGCTTTGTTTGCTCCTAGGCAGGGCTAACCCAACCCCGTAACCAAGGGCCGTCGGAGGCGATTTTGTTCCTTCCCGGCCAGTCTGAGACTCGTGCCCCATTGCGGCCATTCTGAGAGTTGCGCTGATTTCAGCATCTGCGTTCAATTTATCTCAACCGAATTGGCTTTAGCCTTGCAATCATTTTGCATCAACCAAATTGGCTTTGGCTTTGCATTCAATTGGCTTCAACCAAATTGGCTTTGGCTTTGCATTCAATTGACTTGAACCAAATTGGCTTTAGCCTTGCATTCAATTGCCTTCAACCAAATTGACTTTAGCTTTACATTCAATTGACTTCAACCAAATTGGCTTTAGCTTTACATTCAATTGGCTTCAACCAAATTGGCTTTAGCTTTGCATTCAATTGGCTTCAACCAAATTGGCTTTAGCTTTACATTCAATTAATGTAAGCCAAATTGGCTTTAGCTTTGCCTTGGTTACGGGATTGGGCTAGCCTTGCTTTGTTTGCTCCTAGGCAGGGCTAACCCAACCCCGTAACCAAGGGCCGTTGGAGGCGATTTTGTTCCTCCCGGCCAGTGTGAGACTCGCGCCCCATTGCGGCCATTTTGAGAGTTGCTCTGATTTCAGCATCTGCGTTCAATTTATCTCAACCAAATTGGCTTTAGCCTTGCAATCATTTTGCATCAACCAAATTGGCTTTGGCTTTGCATTCAATTGACTTCAACCAAATTGGCTTTAGCCTTGCATTCAATTGGCTTCAACCAAATTGGCTTTAGCTTTACATTCAATTGACTTCAACGAAATTGGCTTTAGCCTTGCATTCAATTGACTTCAACCAAATTGGCTTTAGCTTTATGTTCAATTGACTTCAACCAAATTGGCTTTAGTTTTACATCCAATTAATGTAAGCCAAATTGGCTTTAGCTTTGCCTTGGTTACGGGGTTGGGCTAGCCTTGCTTTGTTTGCTCCTAGGCAGGGCTAACCCAACCCCGTAACCAAGGGCCGTCGGAGGCGATTTTGTTCCTCCCGGCCAGTCTGAGACTCGCGCCCCATTGCGGCCATTTTGAGAGTTGCTCTGATTTCAGCATCTGTGTTCAATTTATCTCAACCGAATTGGCTTTAGCCTTGCAATCATTTTGCATCAACCAAATTGGCTTTGGCTTTGCATTAGGTTTATTTCAACCATATTGGCTTCAGTTTTACCTTCAATTGGCTTCAACCAAATTGGCTTTAGCCTTGCATTCAATTGACTTCAACCAAATTGGCTTTAGCTTTACATTCAATTAATGTAAACCAAATTGACTTTAGCTTTACATTCAATTGATTTGAACCAAATTGGTTTAGCTTTACATTCAATTGGCTTCAACCAAATTGACTTTAGTTTTACATTCAATTAATGTAAGCCAAATTGGCTTTAGCTTTGCCTTGGTTACGGGGTTGGGCTAGCCTTGCTTTGTTTGCTCCTAGGCAGGGCTAACCCAACCCCGTAACCAAGGGCCGTCGGAGGCGATTTTGTTCCTCCCGGCCAGTCTGAGACTCGCGCCCCTTTGTGGCCATTCTGAGAATTGCAATGTCTTTGGGTGGGCTGAGATCTGCACTGCTTTTGAGGTGGGTTGCAGTATGCAACATTCTCACAAGTGTGGTGTCACTAATGGGGTGTGGAGGCTTTGTACCCTTTCTCTGGTTGGTCTGACATCTATGCGAACCATGTCTTAAAGTGTACTGCATATGCATCTGCTGCGCCTGTAAATTGCGTCGTGCCATGTATGCAATATGTGTTAAGTTGCGCCTGTAAACTGTATTGTGCCATGTATGCAATATGTGTTAAGTTGCGCCTGTAAACTGTGTTGTGCCATGTATGCAATATGTGTTAAGTTGCGCCTGTAAACTGTGTTGTGCCATGTATGCAATATGTGTTAAGTTGCGCCTGTAAACTGTGTTATGCCATGTACAGAATGTGTGGATTCTGCGCCTATAAACTAAGTCTTGGAATCAGAGACCCATATTCATTACATGTTTTGCTTCTCAATGTGCAGTTGGTGGTATAGCGCGTATGTATATGATTGTATGAGCCCTGCCTTGCAGAAACAGACTGTAATAAACAAATAAACAATACATGTATGTTGTGTGTCTTGCTTTGTCACGGCAACGACTGGAAGGACACTGGAAGGTAGGTGAAAAAGGTAGGTGCGGAGGGTGGTAGACGGGGGTTAGACTTAGACTTAGACACTGGGGTTAGACTTAGACACTGGGGTTAGACTTAGACACTGGGGTTAGACTTAGACTTAGACACTGGGGGTTAGACTTAGACACTGGGGGTTAGACTTAGACTTAGACTTAGACACTGGGGTTAGACTTAGACACTGGGGGTTAGACTTAGACTTAGACACTGGGGGTTAGACTTAGACACTGGGGGTTAGACTTAGACTTAGACTTAGACACTGGGGTTAGACTTAGACACTGGGGGTTAGACTTAGACTTAGACACTGGGGTTAGACTTAGACACTGGGGTTAGACTTAGACTTAGACACTGGGGGTTAGACTTAGACACTGGGGGTTAGACTTAGACTTAGACTTAGACACTGGGGTTAGACTTAGACACTGGGGGTTAGACTTAGACTTAGACACTGGGGGTTAGACTTAGACACTGGGGGTTAGACTTAGACTTAGACACTGGGGGTTAGACTTAGACACTGGGGGTTAGACTTAGACTTAGACTTAGACACTGGGGTTAGACTTAGACACTGGGGGTTAGACTTAGACACTGGGGGTTAGACTTAGACTTAGACTTAGACACTGGGGTTAGACTTAGACACTGGGGGTTAGACTTAGACACTGGGGGTTAGACTTAGACTTAGACTTAGACACTGGGGTTAGACTTAGACACTGGGGGTTAGACTTAGACTTAGACACTGGGGTTAGACTTAGACACTGGGGTTAGACTTAGACACTGGGGGTTAGACTTAGACTTAGACACTGGGGGTTAGACTTAGACACTGGGGGTTAGACTTAGACTTAGACACTGGGGGTTAGACTTAGACACTGGGGGTTAGACTTAGACTTAGACACTGGGGGTTAGACTTAGACACTGGGGGTTAGACTTAGACTTAGACTTAGACACTGGGGTTAGACTTAGACACTGGGGGTTAGACTTAGACACTGGGGGTTAGACTTAGACACTGGGGTTAGACTTAGACACTGGGGGTTAGACTTAGACACTGGGGGTTAGACTTAGGGTTAGACACTGGGGTTAGACTTAGACACTGGGGGTTAGACTTAGACACTGGGGGTTAGACTTAGACTTAGACTTAGACACTGGGGTTAGACTTAGACACTGGGGGTTAGACTTAGACACTGGGGGTTAGACTTAGGGTTAGACACTGGGGTTAGACTTAGACACTGGGGGTTAGACTTAGACACTGGGGGTTAGACTTAGACACTGGGGTTAGACTTAGACACTGGGGGTTAGACTTAGACTTAGACACTGGGGGTTAGACTTAGACACTGGGGGTTAGACTTAGACTTAGACACTGGGGGTTAGACTTAGACACTGGGGGTTAGACTTAGACTTAGACACTGGGGTTAGACTTAGACACTGGGGGTTAGACTTAGACACTGGGGTTAGACTTAGACACTGGGGGTTAGACTTAGACTTAGACTTAGACACTGGGGTTAGACTTAGACACTGGGGTTAGACTTAGACACTGGGGGTTAGACTTAGACTTAGACACTGGGGGTTAGACTTAGACTTAGACTTAGACACTGGGGTTAGACTTAGACACTGGGGGTTAGACTTAGACACTGGGGGTTAGACTTAGACACTGGGGGTTAGACTTAGGGTTAGACACTGGGGTTAGACTTAGACACTGGGGGTTAGACTTAGACTTAGACACTGGGGGTTAGACTTAGACACTGGGGGTTAGACTTAGACTTAGACACTGGGGTTAGACTTAGACACTGGGGGTTAGACTTAGACACTGGGGTTAGACTTAGACACTGGGGGTTAGACTTAGACTTAGACTTAGACACTGGGGTTAGACTTAGACACTGGGGTTAGACTTAGACACTGGGGGTTAGACTTAGACACTGGGGGTTAGACTTAGACTTAGACACTGGGGGTTAGACTTAGACACTGGGGGTTAGACTTAGACACTGGGGGTTAGACTTAGACTTAGACACTGGGGGTTAGACTTAGACACTGGGGGTTAGGGTTAGACACTGGGGGTTAGACTTAGACTTAGACTTAGACACTGGGGTTAGACTTAGACACTGGGGTTAGGGTTAGGGTTAGGGTTAGGGTTAGGGTTAGGGTTAGGGTTAGGGTTAGGGTTAGGGTTAGGGTTAGGGTTAGGGTTAGGGTTAGGGTTAGGGTTAGGGTTAGGGTTAGGGTTAGGGTTAGGGTTAGGGTTAGGGTTAGGGTTAGGGTTAGGGTTAGGGTTAGGGTTAGGGTTAGGGTTAGGGTTAGGGTTAGGGTTAGGGTTAGGGTTAGGGTTAGGGTTAGGGTTAGGGTTAGGGTTAGGGTTAGGGTTAGGGTTAGGGTTAGGGTTAGGGTTAGGGTTAGGGTTAGGGTTAGGGTTAGGGTTAGGGTTAGGGTTAGGGTTAGGGTTAGGGTTAGGGTTAGGGTTAGGGTTAGGGTTAGGGTTAGGGTTAGGGTTAGGGTTAGGGTTAGGGTTAGGGTTAGGGTTAGGGTTAGGGTTAGGGTTAGGGTTAGGGTTAGGGTTAGGGTTAGGGTTAGGGTTAGGGTTAGGGTTAGGGTTAGGGTTAGGGTTAGGGTTAGGGTTAGGGTTAGGGTTAGGGTTAGGGTTAGGGTTAGGGTTAGGGTTAGGGTTAGGGTTAGGGTTAGGGTTAGGGTTAGGGTTAGGGTTAGGGTTAGGGTTAGGGTTAGGGTTAGGTTAGGGTTAGGGTTAGGGTTAGGGTTAGGGTTAGGGTTAGGGTTAGGGTTAGGGTTAGG